CGATTCATTTGATAGATACAAATTTTCGCCACCAAAAAAATCCTCTCATGAATCTACATGCTTCATTAGCTTTATTTAAAACTTTATCAATTTCCAAACAACACTATTAGAGAATTTCTATCTAATTATTACACTAGTCAACCATGTTTACAAGTGGATTTTAGAATCATAGGTATTCAATATCATTATTAAAATATTACCATGCATTTGAACTATATAAATATTCTTCATATATTCCAATTGTTCTTACGTGTCCAAACAACCTCCACAATTAGCTTCTACCCATTTAATCCACTTTAGACTTAGTGTATATCATCCTTATAATTATAATTAGTATAAGAGTTTTCTATTTTTTCACCTTCATAGATATCTTTCTATAATTATAAGATAAAAGCAAATGTAACTGTTAAACTGAGTTACCCCCACAATTCCTCAATTAAGAATGCATATGCAATTTAGTAACGTTGTATCCATAAGTTTTAAACTTTCCATTCAAGTTCACGAGCATTTATGATAATCCCCCACATCTTTGGGTTACAATTGAACTTAGGGTTTAGCAACTCTTTCATAGTTCAATTTATTTATCTCTTAGATAATATCCATATCGAGTGCTTTGTGAAAGTCTATGTACTTTCAAAGTAGTGATCGTCAACTTGCATATAACGTACTTCAATTTAATTAATTTAATTTGATCATTCAAATTAAATCAATGTCATCATATAGATCAACAATACTTTCAAAACATATACCAACTTAATTGGTTTCATGATTGAAGTCAAATTCAACAATAAAGAGGGTTAAGCATTGCAACTTCTTCAAACATATACAACTTATCACATTTGTGACATTTCACATGATAGTTTTATTTCAATCATCGGTTGAAAAGTTGTATTCTCAAAATATACAATCCTACAAGATAACACACCTCTTGAATTAATCTCTATAAAGAGACACATCCATTGGAAATTAATCATACCAAAAGTCATGATTCTCCATATAAAAAAACACATCTTTCCATGCAAAATTTACAATTTCAAATAATTAAGTGGCTCATTACTAAATAATGATATCCACTTAAATCATCTCACTTAAATTTATCAAATTAATTGAGGCTATCATCATAATCAAAGTTAGTATAATTTCAATAAGATATGAAATTTTAACCAACTAATTTACCGTGTCATTATCATATTCCAATCAAAAGAATCGTCATGAAAGTTCATATACTTTCACAATTAGTTGATATCTATTCTAGTAATATTGGAGTTGTACCAATGACCAACATATATAGATCTTATTTAAATAAATATACATGCCGTATTATTTGATAGGATAATCAACTTGATGTTAGATTACGAAATTAGATTTGAAAATGCATTTAGAAAATGAAGAGTCATCATTTAATAAATTGCCTTAAAAATCACATGCACTTTATCAAAATAAACCAAATTCATGGTCATTGACTAATTTATGAAAAGACACGTATTGACAGCCATATATATTGATTAGCAATTGCAACCATGTACAATATATAATACTTCACTTTCATCATATACTAAACAAATGGATGGCATGGACACTTGAGACACAATTCATATAATAACATAATAGTTTCTCATGTATTGATCAATTTATTTTTTATTTTTATTTTTTTAAGAGTTGCACAGAACCCCACCAAGCATAAAACATAAATCGGTGTTGAGCTTATATAATCAGATTTTATCATCCAATCCATTTAATACTTTGTTCATACAAACAGAATAATGAAAAATATAAATGCACGAAAACAAAATTCATGTTAAGATTGTTGGGGAATACACCGATTATGTGCATATTATATTCATAAAAGCATACCGTTTATTTGCGTGAAATTGAAACGTAATTTCGACTTACCAAAATAGAATTTAAGAAGCAAAACAATAATAGTTACCGAATATGAATGCGTAAATATGGATTCATCTTTTTCGATTGTTGAACGAAAGCAAGTTATTCTTTGAATCAAACATCGCAGAACAAATATGTAAATAATGTTAATCATTTTTTGAAATCAAATCATAATTAAGAGAAATCAGAAAATGAAGGAAGAAAGATGCAAGTGATGAATTTTTGGTCGAGCCAAGTTTTGACACTTGGTCCTTAAAATGAATTTGCCCTACATCGGTGCTAACAATTTTTCGACAATCATCTCCCAAGATATAAGGACCACGTCAAGCCATAGGAGCACTCCAAATGGCTTCGACCAACAAACTCGAACGAAATTCCCTCTCTACCATAACAATGATTTTGATGTAAAAAATAATCACTTCTACAAAGTGTTTTATATAACTTAACATGAAATGAATAATATGGATTTATGAAATGAATTGGAATGACAAATACACGTCCAAGGGGTCCTATATATAGAAGATGAAGGGTTGTGGGTGAAGGGATACAACCCAAATCCAGCATTTTTCATGGAAAGTTGCAACACTTCATTTCAAAAAGTTACAACACTTCATTTCAAACCTGTATCCTTTCGAAAAGTTGCAACGCTTCATTCTTCCAACTTTGGACTGCAATTTCTCATTCATCCGGAATTGGTTTCGAGATTTCAAATATACCATGAAGATCTATTCTACAAGTAGAATAAGTTGGTCTATTTACTTTTGTAATTTGACCATCGGATCAAGTTCAAACAATCGATCGAAATTGACACGAAGTCAGACCTTTTCATTTTTCCAGTTTTACACTTAACCAATTTTTAGTTAATTTTTGAACCAATTCCAACATTAAGTCCAAACAAATTTCAACTTCCAATAGGCTTACAAATAGAATTTCAACTAGAATTTGCCAATAAACTTCGAATAAGATTTCAAAAACATTCAAAATAGAATTCTTCTTAAATGTGCACTTTAATTAGAAATTTTAAATTATCTAAATCAAACAATTCAGGTTACACCTAAATTCTAACAATCTCCACCTTGACATGAATTTCGGTGCAATGAATAAAGCTCTAATATTTCTTCATCTAGAAAAATAAGTTCAACTTCTGTGAAATAGAATTAACTCTTCAACCAAAACCAAACTTCTTCACCTTATACAAAATTGCTCTTCCTTTTCCACGGTATCTATATATGATACCCCAAACCAAACATCGGGTTCCCAAAATTTTCACAAGAAATTTAAGATTTATCAAACAGGGTCGAAGCATACCCTATAACAGAAGTAACTCTCAATGTTTTCACCGAAGGCCCCTTGCTAGTCTCGACACCTTCAAAAGCCCCCAAAAGCATCCGCAACCAAATCAACATCTCCGTACCTATCTCCAATGGGTCTATTCCTAGCCGTTAAATATGATGGAACCGTGGATAATGCTGGCAAAGAAAAATTACTCATATCTTCCAAATTTGACTGATTAGTATTCTACAATATGGACCTAGAGATAAGTTCCAAAGATATTGTACCAAATGGAATCTTCACCACGGTACTAAACCGTGCTAACTTTTCTTTACTAATTATGCCTAACCTTGCAAAAAGTATAACATTGACCTCTTTCGACCCGTCAATACAACATGACCAGCCTTCCGGACCTTCAAAACTCCACTTACTCCAGAGAATGTGTGCCCTTTCGAATCAAGAGTACTCAACGAGATGAGATTCTTCTTCAAATCTAGAACACGTCAAACCTGGTCAACTGTTCTAATTGTCCCATCCATCAACTTCAATCTGACCTTTCCAATACCAACTACTCGATAAGGTTCATTGTTTCCCATGATCAGGACACATTGTGTTACCTTTTCATATGCTTTAAACAAATATCGATTAGGGCACATATGGAACGTACAAGCAGTATCCAAAATCTACTCCTCGTTAGGTTTGGATTCCATGTTAGAAATCGTCATGACATCTCCATCACTCAAAAAGTCCTCAACTATGTTGGTCTCATCCAAAGTGTTTGACCGATTCCCTTGATTTGCAGTTGAGTACCTTTATTTTGCAATTTTTCGCAATACCTCTTAATGTGTCTTTTCTTTTTGCTATAGAAACAAATTTGATTGCTAAAATTCACCATTGACTTATCCCTTCATCATTCACCATGAAACACAAGAGCTTCTTCACCTCTGGACTAAGCTCCAATCAGATACTTCATCTTCTCCTTTGATAACAAGACATTATACATATCTTCAATGGTGAGTGTGTCATGATTGTACAAAATCGTGTCAATGAACAAAGTAACGAAGCGGGCTGCGAACACAATAGGATTAAGGCCAAATATTCTTCATTATACTTTACTTCTAAGGTATCTAAATCAATTTTTAATAAGTTCAAATACAACCCAGAAAAAAATATGGGGATGAAGATACTCAATACTACTAAAAGCAATAAAAATTACTAAACTATTAAAAGCCATAAACAATTTAGTAATCCTATATTCTAAAAAGCAAAAATAAATAAAAAGAAAGAAAATCGGGTTGCCTCCTAATAAGCGCATATTTATAGTCATTAGCTTGACTTTGTTGTTTTGGATCATGAAATTTTGAAAAAAGTTTTTGATGCCTTACTTAGTTTGCATTTTTTTTTATTTTTTTTTTAACTTTGATCCACTTTTCATTGATTCTCCAAATCATAACCTTGCCTCTATCACCTTGCCTCTTTCAATGTGATATGACTTGTCCATTCCATCCAATTTGAAATCAACTATGTAGACTTCTTCCTCATAGAGTTTAATCACAAATTCAATAGTTTGACAATCGATGAAGTAGAAAGAATGTGTGTTAATTTCATCATCATTAATTGTCACTTCTTCAAAATATATTTTTCAACAATGATTTGACACTATTTCAACCACATATTTTTCAATAAAATAATATTATACGCAAATTCAAAACTTTTTCTCATTTTTAACTACACAATATCCATTCATAACACTATTTCAAAATGCATTTTTTTCAAGAAAAATGGGGCTCAAACAACCTATAAGTCCAAAGTTGAATTCTTCAAAATCTTGAAGTAATTGAACTTCAATCCTTTCCTATGTATTGATCTCCTCTCTCAAAATATAGTAGTTGGTCCCTTGTACTTGATGAATTTGATGAAACTATTGTGTATGAAGAGGCAAGAGAGATACTACTTTCGTTGCTGCCCATGTCTTGTATTTATATGATGAAATTAGGTCAAAATTCTCGTCCAAATTTCCTTTCCAAAGAGTTTTCATCAAATAAGGAAAGTTACCTTTGTGGGCGCATGACTTTGTCTCTGCACAACTTTCAGTATTTTGGTCATAACTTTCTCTTTCGATATCCGATTTAGGTGACTCAAAGTGAGCTGGAAAGCTTATTCAAAAAACTAAAATTCTTCTAAAAGTACAATTTTTCCAATTCAAAAGTTTTCTATCCAAAAAATTGGTTTCAAATTGACCAAAAATCAGGAAGATATCTTATGTGATTGAAATTCAATTTATAGTAATAGTCAGATCATATCCTTTTTCTTTTTTTCTTTTTTTTTTTACTTCAATTAGCATTCAATTGACTCGTATCAATCTTCAAAGTATCTTTTGTGGTCCAAATCAACCATTGAATATTTACACTTTGGTCCCTATACTTTGGACTTCTTTCTTTTTTGCTTCTTTTTCGTTTTCTTTCTTCCAATTTCACCAATTTGCATTGAGTTCAACATAATAAACATAATTAACACATAATCAAGCTATAACTCATTCAAATCACTAACAAATACTCCAATTTACTAGCTCGAATAAGTATATAAAATATACTTATCAAATTTGTATAAAGATTCAACCTTTCTTTGATGGGTTGTATGGAAAATTGAAATTCTCTTCTAGTTTTATACAAGAACAATATCGTGTAGCATCATTGATATTATAACAACAATTTATGTGACATTTCAAGCGATAATTCATTTTAAATGTTACTCGTGTCGCTACTTTTAAAAGAATTTATCTATTATTGACACTAAAATGTCATTTAAATTAGTACTTAACACCAATAATACTAAATAAAATTACTATAAACTCTATATATTTGTGATTATGACTATCTCCCCATGAGGTAATCATATGCCTTTACAATTTCACTTAACTCACATCTTGAATAAATTCAACGACATATTTAAAGAAATTCTGACATGCGGTGGCCATCTTAGTAGATTTTAGGTAGCAATTCATCATAAGAAAAAAAGGCATTGATATAGGAGCCTGATCATCATTTGGTCCTTAAACAAGAGGCCTACCTTTGTCATTGACTTTTTAATACACCAAATTGGCTTTTGCATTTCTGGTGTTGACTTAATTCTAGTCAATTGTAGAGCTCGTTTGTAACTCCATTATTTGTGAGTAATGTATTATGGAGTAGTAATTGATATTAAAATGTGTGGTTAAAAAAGAAAGAAAATTTTTTTATTTACGTATAATATTATTTTAATGAAAAATGTGTGATTTAAAATGAGTACTATAGAAAAAATAATGTGATAGAATGTGGAAGAAAGGAAGACAAATAAAGCCTTATATTTCCAGGGCTAAGAACAAAAGAACTAGTTTAATGATATGCACAAGCTCTATTTGTAATTATTTCTATTTTCTTTATAACCTTAATTCTTAATGTCATAATTATATCCAAATGTCAACTACTAGCACATAAAGTCTAGAACTCCCCGTGCTTACAAGATGCACAACAAGAATTATGAACGCGCTTAATTAAAATCCTTATTCTTTCTTCAAATGATTCCACATGTC